CACTGAAGACTGGAATAATGGCAGTTCCCATCACAGGAATAAATTACATTTTAAATTATATTAACATAAAAAAGTTATTTTGCCAAAATTAAAAGAACATTTTCTTTTAATTGACCTCTGCAGGTACCTCGAATGATAGTGAACGTGGTCCAGATACTGCCGATGGAGACCCTGAGGGAAGTACAGAAACCCACGCCAGGATGTCTGCTCCAAAGGTACAGGAAATTAAATCAAGCTTTCAAAATCATTTAAAGAGAGAGAGTGGTGTCATGGATGATGACTGCACATGAAAAATGCATATCTAGTCAGTCTTTAAATGTTGATGTGTAACAACATTCAGCCTGTTTTGCTCAAGACAGTTGACTTGTCATCTTTATTCTTTCAGTGCTACAGGATAATTTCTCTCCTATTCAATGCTCTGATCTCTCCAGGTCATTCTGCTCCTGTCTGGTAAAGCCAGCTGCGGGATCTGCTGATCTGAAGGAGCTGGTTGGAGTCAACCTAGAATTCCAGGTGTGTTTGCTTTCACAATTATCTACACAGTTATATTATGAATCTGTAATTTGCTGATATAATGCTGAATGACATATCTTTTGTCTCAGAAAGCACTGGAGCAGCTCTTGTACACTGACCGCTTCTTTAAGAATGACTTTGCTGTAGGTTTGCAGCCGTTCCTGAAACACGCAGATCCTCCAAGACTCCCTGTGAGTAGTGACCACTGACTGTTTATTAATTACTATAATTTATAGCACTTTGCTGCTAGTTTTGCATTAAGGTTTAAATGGTAAAATTTCCATTAAAATAGGAATGTGCTGTTCAGAATTTGTGCCTTTATATTTTTCTCTGATTAGAATGGGAAGATTGACATGAGCTTTTTTACTCCGGACTGTTTCCACTTCACCATGAAAGGACACGAGGAGTTAGCCAAGGGACTGTGGAACAACATGGTAACAACTTTAACTCTGAACAAATTCACAAAGCTCCAAAATAAAAAAATAAAATAAAATGAAATGTAAAATATCAAAACATTAAATAAAATATAAACATCTAAACATTAAAATGTTTAGAATATAAATAATATAAAATGAAGAAAATATCAAATAAAACTATTTAAAATATAAATAATATAAAATGAAGGAAATATATAATAATATAAAATAAAATCGAAAATAAAACCGAATCATTAAATAAAATAGTAAAGAAAAAAATGAAACATGAAGAAAAGAAAATAATTTTGATAAGCAGTGCAGCGCATTTGAGGCACAATCTCTGATTATGTGTCACTGTCATACAGGCACAATGTCATTCTAAAATCTTTTCTCTCATTTCTTGTGTGCCAGGTTTCAACCTGAGGGGGAGAAGTTCATGGTGGAGAGCTTTTCAAACCCTATTGAGCTCATTTGCCCCCCTGTGGTAAGAAATGATTATTAGTGTAATTTTATTACGCCATTATGTCACTGTAATTACATAATGTGTTGGATTTTCTTGCTAATTCCTTTATTACCTGCTTTAAATGTCTTTCATGCTCAAACTGTCAAATCCCAGAGTCATCCGTACATTTACACCAGACCCAGTGCTGTAAAATCAGGCTCATCACTTCCTGAGATGCCCCAGTCAGCTGGCATCAGACTAACTGTTCTCCACCTCATCTTGGCTTTCCTTCCACTGTGGTTGGCTGTTAATCTGGCCTCCTTGTAGGACATCCATATGGAGTATCGTGGTACATCATGTCTGCCCACCCGATGTTCTACTTTGGCTGGATATCATTGCTTTGACGGTCTCTGAACCATTGAGGATCTATTCTGAGACTTGAGCCACTGCAGGATGATCTATGGTAAAACTGATAATGAGGGAAATTGGAGTTGACAAAATATGAAGACTTGGTTACAGTCAATTTCATATTGAATTGCTCTATAGAGTTACAATGGAAATGGGAATATTGAAACCTCAGAATAGAAAAATATATGCCAATGTGATTACCTTTTTTGATATACCCAACCAAAATAGCACAAGAGCAGGTGCAAAGCCAAAGCCACTTTTAGCTCTGCGTAATGTTGCTATAATTAATTTAGGTATGAAAGGTAACTGTGTAAGCTAATTCCGGATGGTTTGAATAAAATGGCCAGAGGTTATCCTGTAAACTCATTAAGCCTGTGCAGATAAAGGAATTAAATGTTGAGTGAGAACAACTGTTTTGCTTCCGAGAGCAAAACCGTTTGAGAGCTTCTTAATGCCCAAAGTAATAAGATAATTGCTTTGGATGCTGCAACATGTCTTCTCAAATAAAGCTTTCAAAAGGGGTACTTACCTGTTTTCCTTCTATTTTTTTCTTTGAAAGTAAGTTTTTACTTAAGATATGCTTTTTCTATACAGCTGAAAGTTTTTAATTACCAATCAAAGAACCTGTCTTTAGAGTTGTGCTTAGCAGCTCCTAAAGGTTTTTGGAAACAAACAAATAATTATAGCAATGGAATTATATTGGTGGTTTCTTCACAGTTATGTAATAAATATGTTCAGTCTGATTGTCTGCATTTGTCCAAATATAGCTGAGTGCTGCATAAATATTATTGTCATTCAAAGCAGATGTGTTTTGATCCACTTTATAGCTCAGAACTGTCAGGTCTAGGATTGCTATTAGCCTGTCTTTCTGTTTAAAAGAAGTACACAACAAAGAAACTATCTGCAGATGTAATATTTTGCCACCGGGAGTAATGTCTACCATTAATGCTTATAATATAATCTCATTCGGTTGATTATTTGCTATTCCTAAGATCACAAGAGTGAATTTAAGGCTTATTTGTGAATGTCCTGTTTCGCTCATTAATTTACCTTTAATCAATTCATAGTTATGCACTGCTGTTTAGGAAGACTAATATTTGAAAGGCTTTTGGGGCTTTGTATTGTACATATATATTGATTTACTCTCCTGTACTGACAGCTAATGCAAAACTATTGCCTTGATCAATATCAATAATGAAGATGTCTCAGAATCTGAGGTAATGCTAATGGCGATAGTCTTCTCTCAGTAGTAAACCATACCGGGAGTTCTTTTGATTAGAGTTTTTTTTTTTTTTACATAATACATAAAAAATCTGAGAAACTGCTTTTCATGGCTAATTTATTATCATGATCCAAAATAATTGAACGTGATCACAAAAACAAGCATTTATTTAAAAAATTAGAACTTTTTATTATTATTCGTATAGCAGGGGTTTGGTAGATGAGTGGAACATTTTGGTTGCACATAAGTACATTGTTCTCTGGGCATTTCTGGGAAAGTAGTTAAGCAAATTACTCATTTTGTTCACCCATGTACATTATAAAATATATCTGGTTGAATAAAATAGATGACCGAATAAAACAACAATGTACAGCTTTGAGTATTTCCACAGGGACAAAGTAGAATTTATGCATTTTAATATAACTTAACTACTAGGGAAAAAAAAGATTGCAAAACTCAGGAGCAAATGTGACAAATGGTATGTTTTTTTTTTCCACTTCAAACTTTTATAAACAGGAAGCAATACATTGTTTCCTCTCTGAAGGAAATGAGATGCAATACATCACAAGCACGTACTCGTACTCCTACTGACTGTTCGATTTTCATTCAATTTTAGTGTGTCCAGAACAGAGAAATTGCATTATCTTCTCATTACAAATCAGTGGTCAACATGTCTGCTGCCTCGAATTTCTTGCCTTTCTGCAATGTATCTGTTTAACTCGATATAATTTTCCTCAACGGGTAAAATGTGTAAACAGCTGCTTCTATGTGCACATTATCAGAGCCCACTAAGGTAGCCTATGAATAAAATGATAAATGAAGTCTGAATGGCTTGTTTAGATGCACAATGAGTGGCTGATATATTGTTTTCATGAGCTACAAGGACATTATCCATGTATTGGAATTAACAAAGAAAGCATATTTCCAACAAAGCAAACTATTAAACATAAAAGAATAAGTGATAAATAATTAAGCTGAAGCGTTTTATCAGATCTGCATGTGAATTGAAAACCCACACAACACGTAGAGGATCAATGAATGCTGTATAGTAAGTAATTGCATGACTGCTCTCCCATATCTAATAATCTGCTTCCTGCGCACATTTACTCTCTTTCATCCCCAGCCACTCTCTTTCTAATGCATCTTTACTGTGCTCAATAAATTAGTTGGTGGGGAAATCACATATGGTTCCCCTGAGGTCCATCATTTACTGTCTATGCCAATGTTTAATGCAGTCCCTTTTGTAATTGAAGTACTTTCTGTTTTGAATAGCGGGCACTACTGACCGACTTCTGTTTGGTATTCAACAAAAAGATTCATGCCAAACAGCCCACCATTTGTTTTGCTTCATTAGGGAACAAATCACTACAATATGTTTTTTACTTTAATATTTTACTGTACAGACATTTTAGTTGAAATCATGATCTTCTTGTGCTCAAAGCCATTTTATTTGAGTAATGCATGGGATCTTGATGAAACTTCAACTAATAAAACATCTGCATGGGTGATATATCTGAGTGATATATCTGAGTTTCCTAAAGCAGTTTTGACCCATATTATATTTTGGGCCCTTCCTTGATTATATATTTTGATTTAAAAAGAAAAAAGAATTAAGCTACAGCCTTGTTTTGAAATGCCTAGATTTGGAGTTTCAGGAAAGGGTGATGTTATAATAAGAAGATGCTTATGCTTTTGCTTTTATTTAGACGACCCAACACACCCTTCTACAAAATATGGGACCCCAAATATTGAAAAGCATTCTGCTACTTGTATACCGAGTAGTATGTATAGTGTGAATTATTACTAAGTATAAATATATTTAAATAATTCAATGTATGAAATTAAAGCAAACTTAAAGCAGTTGTTTGCATCCGTATATGCATATAATAATAATTAATATTATTGTAAACTTTTTTTCCTTTACCATTTAGGGGATGGTGAACTAAGCAGCTGTATTTCATACTGATGTCATTTCCTCTCCATCAAGTCTTCTATATAAAGGCGGCATCGCTGCGGTAGTGAGTAGTGACATTGAAGCATTGTGATCCGGCGAAACAAATAAGAGCAGGCGCCTTTTGCGCATAATGCATCCATAATCAGCGAGTGTTTTCATTCACTACGAGGAAAGGAAAGTACTAACGTTCATTCGCTTTCCTCTGGCACGACGGTTCATCACTTTTAAACAGAACGGTTGCCTGCACTTCGCATTACGAAGATGATCGCACGAGGATGCGCTGGTCTCGTGTTGCTGGTGAATTTTGGTAAGTGTGCAAGATGTACAAATAACCACGTAACGTGTTAAGTTATTGTGGCAATACTTAGTGGCATTTCGGATTATGTATTGATTCTGTTGACTGTACATTTAATACATGTGCCATGTCTCTGTCAGCACCAAGGACAGCGGATAAAACACTTGTGAGGAGCACAAAAGGCTTTTCACACTTGACAACGTAATCGTGGTTTATCTTGTTACATGCTTTACAGTGGTAGGCTAATACTTCGTCTTTAGTAATTAATCATCTTCCAGATTTCGCATTGAAAACCCGGGGTTAACGCTCTTATTTACATATTTATAAAACCATTAACATTAATTAGACAATACAGCAAGCGACCAGTTTTAATAACCCGCATGTCTACTGTATCTGTGTAAATCTCCCCACGTAGATCCACCATGGTTGTTTTATACCCTACTGTTTACCGTCGTTGTTCGACATTTTAACGGTTTTCCTCAGATTACAAACAGCGCGTGAAAGTTTCTGCGACTGTACAAAGAACATGAATATTTAATGAGATGAGCTCTGAAGCAGTTTATGATCGGTTGTCTGTTGCTAAACGACTCGCCTACCTTTGTTACTTAACCAAAAGATTAAAACTAGCCTTCACCCAGGGTTTAAAAAGACATTTAGTTAACCCAGGGTTAAGTATAGGTTGATTTGTTATATAATTATTATTTTTTTATAGCATTGTGTTTTTGCTTATCAAAGCTATCTGTCTATTTCTAGTCTTCTCGGTACCTGTCTATCCAGGTCACATGGATGATAAGGATGTGAAGGTATGAGTTTATAAATCATTTTCTTAACAAACAAAATGTTTGAGTTTAGCTTCACTACTGTACAATATTATTTTAATGTGTATTTGGAGCAGCCTTTTTGAACATAAGGATGCACAGAATGGCAGCAGCCATAGTCCATGTTGTCAGGAAGTGTGGAGAAAAGCAGCATAAGTGAGACAGTGACTCAACAACACGATTTCAGCTTAGTGACAGCTGGTGCCATGTGTGCTTACTCAGAGGAGGCTACCAACTACAGATGACTGCAAACTGTGCTTTTAAACTATGATGAACTAATTTGAAACTTAAATTGAAGTTGGGTTGCATTCATTTAAAGGGGTCATATGATGCGATTTCAATTTTTCCTTTCTCTTTGGAGTGTTACAAGCACTTGGTGC